CACCCCCCCTGCCTGGGAGCCTGTTAGAAACAGGTCCCAGAGGGACCAGCAGATGGTGTAATGGTTACATCGCTGGACTCCCACATAGTCAAACAGGGTTCAAATCCCACACCTGGTGACTGAAAACACACCAGGTGTGTGTATGTGCATGCCTGAAGTCGTGAGGGGCAACGTGGACCCGGGGGCAGGGCTGGAGGTTGGTGCAGTGCTGAAACGTGGCACTCGGGGAGACTGACCCCCACAGGAAGGTTCTGAGTCACGGTCAGGAGTCCTCCCTGCCTATGCCAGACGCATTGTGCCCATGACCCGGGGTGGTTAAGACTGGGGTGGATTTTTGTATTAGAGCCCTTCCATAAATGCTCTCTCTCTGTCTCCCATGGAACAAAGAGATAAACTTGAGGCACCTGCAGGTGGCGTGGTGGTGGTTAGGGGCGCTGGACTCCCACATGGCCAACTGTGGTTCAAGTCCCGGACCTGGCAGCTTGCTTTCTCATTTTCTCTCTCTCTCTCTTTCACTCTGTCCCCTTCTGAACAAAATTAAAATAAATAAATAAAGTTAATTTTAAAATATATATTTTATTTACCTTTATTTATTTATATAATTTGACTGGAGAGGGACAGAGCAAGAGAGTGAGAAAAGAGAGGAAAGTGAGAAAACAAGCCACCGGTCCGGGACTTGAACTGTGGTCAACCACATGGGAGTCTAGTGCCCCTAACTGCCACGCCATTGGCCAGCCCAAAAGTTAAAAATTTTTTTTTTTTTTTTTTTTTTTTTGCTACAGGGTGCATGTGCTCACCAGAGGGACAGAGAGAGAGAGACAGAAAGCGAGAAATCACCCCCAGGGGGGATGGCCACGCCGCAATCCATTCTCCTCTCAGGATTTTGGGCACGCACGCACACGCGCCCGGCGTGAATTTAAGCCACCAGGTCCGGGACTCAAACCGCGGTCAACTACATGGGAGTCCAGCGACATAGCCATTATACCAACTGCTGGTCCCAACATTTTTTTTAAAAAAATATTAAAAATTAAAAGCAAAGAGAGAGCCACTTAATAAATAAATAGGGGGGCCAGCCCCACGGCCTCCTGGGAGCCAGGGCCCCATGGCCGACTTTGGTTGGTGTTTTGCTCTTGGACACGTGTGCTCGCCAGGGAGAAACCGAGAAACCACTCCTGAGGGCTGACCACGCCGTAGCCCCTTCTCCCTTCTCCGTTCCCCTCTCAGGGCTTCAGGCAGGCATGCACACGGCCCGGTGGATTTTCAAGCACTGGGTCCAGGACTCGGACTTCATCGGCTGCCCTGTGGGACCCGGCCACCTTAGCCTCACGCCACCTCGGGCCGGCCAGCTGTGCTTCCAGTCTTTGTCCGGGAGACCTGCAAAATACACGCAGTGTACATGCCCCGGATCCCGGCGGGGTGGAGACACGGAGAAGGGACCGTGTGACCACACCCCATCGGGGTGCTCTCTCTCCCACCCCCTGCGCGTGCGCGCGGTGCTCTGCCAATTAGAAGACAGAACTGTGGAGCCGGCTCAGCCCTGCCCGACCTCCCGAGTCGGCACCTGCTTTGACCCTGGAGTGGGCCAAGGCTCTGAGTGGCCAGGCTGTGTGTGGGGGTGAGCCCTCTGCCCCCGGCTCCCAGGTAGGCCTGGACTTCGCCCGGAGGGGAGGGAGGAGCACCTGAACCCTGTCTCCCTCTGCACAGTTCCCACCGCTGAGACATGGCCACCAACAGCACTGAGGCTGACGCCAGCACCCAGGGGACCGCGGAGGCACCGGTACAGCAGGTGAGGGCTGGCCCTGGCCGTGCAGCGCTGTGCGGCCTCCGTGGCAGGGAGCCGGTGCCGCCAGAGCGCCTGGGCTCACGGCATCTTCATGAGTGGGGACGGAGTACCAGCAGGTGTCTGGGGCGGGGCGGGGGAACTTTGGGGGGCAGGAGCGGGTCCCGGATCTCCCTGCCCACCTCCGGGCACCCCATCACTTCTCTGAAGTCCTCCCAGGCCCCTCCTCCTGGGAAGCCAGTGGCCATTCCTTCTTTCACATCACCCGCCGAAGTACAGTCCCCCCCTACGATGGGACACATGCACTCGCCAGAGGGGATGGCCACACCTCAGTCCCTTCTCCGTTGTCCTCGGGATTTTGAGCACACAGTCCTGTGGGAGTCGGTGTATAAGCCACCACGCCGAGGACTGGCCTTCCCCAGGAGTGGCTGAGACCCTCGGCAGTCTTGAAATGGAACATCTGTGGTGGGAATTATAACCCCGCAAGAGAGAGTGAGCACGCACACATGCGTGGCAAAACTCAAGCTGGACTTGAACCCCAAGCTGTGTGGGTGCCTTAGCCTCCATACCAACTGCCTTGCGATCTAGCTTCTGTGGAGCAGCTCCTTACTGCTGTGCCCAAGTCCAGCCTCACCCCGTTGTAGACCTAAGCTCCTCAGATGGGGTTCATTCCCTGTCCCCACCCGGCCCATGGTTGGAGGACGGTTGGAGGACGCCACACGCTCCAGCCAGAGCTGCAAAGCTGGGGTAGAGGAAGCGGGTGGGAGGTTCCCAGCTAGCGCATTCACCTGGCGCACAGGACGCGGAGCTGCGCAGAACTGCAAGGCCCCCGAGGTTTGCCTGCCCCCTGCCCTGCACCCTACCGTCCTCCTGAGCTGCCCCTCTCCCCTGCAGCCCAGCGTGGTGGACCGCGTGGCCAGCATGCCGCTGGTCAGCTCCACCTGCGACATGGTGTCGGCCGCCTACGCCTCCACCAAGGAGAGCCACCCCCACGTGCGGACGGTGTGCGACGCAGCAGAGCGGGGCGTGAAGCCCCTCACGGCCGCCGCCGTCAGCGGGGCCCAGCCCCTCCTCTCCAAGCTGGAGCCCCAAAGTGAGTGGAGGCCTGGAGCCCCGCATCCCTGTCCCGCCCGTTGCCCCCCCCCTGGCCCCCTAAGCCGGCGCTGGCTACCCGCTCCAGCCTGAGCGGCCGTCATCAGGGGCTGTCTTCTTGCTCTGCTGTCCCACAGTTGCGACAGCCAGCGGGTATGCCCACAGGGGCCTGGACAAGCTGGAGGAGAGCCTGCCCATCCTGCAACAGCCTTCTGACAAGGTGGGTGACCAGTGCCCGCCAGTTCCCCAGGCTGGCTGAGCTGGCCGGCCCCGCCCACCTCTGGGGGAGAGCCCTGCATGAAGCCCCGCCCACCAACCCGGGCCACGCCCACCCAGCACAGGGCCACGCCCCCCAGATCCTAAGGTCACGCCCACCCGACACAAAGACACGCCTGCCCTAATGAAGGCCACGCCCCCAGCTGGCTGAGTGGTCTTTTATTTTTTTAAGAATTATTTATTTGGGACCACCAGATGGCAAAATGACTACATCACTGGACTCCCATGTAGTCAACTGCTGTTCAAGTCCTGGACCCGTTGGCTTAAACTTATGCTGGGTGCATGTGTGTGTGTGCGCGCGCATGCGTGCCCAAGATCCCTAGAGGAGAATGGAGAAGGGATTGCGGCATGGCCATCACCCCTGGGGGGTGATTTTTCGCTTTCTCTCTGTCTCTCTGGCAAGTGCACGTGCCCTATAGCAAAAAAAATCTCTCTCAAAAAAAAAGAATGATTTTATTTGACTTTATTTATTTATTTGACCAGAGAGGGACAGAGAGAGAGAGAAGGAACTAGAGAAAGCAAGCTGCCAGGTCTAGGACTTGGACCGCGGCCCACCTTGTGGGAGTCCAGCACCCTAACCACCACGCCACCTGCTGGTCCCTGCTCTTTTTTCTTTTGTTTATGAACCAGAGGGTATACGTGCACTCCCCAGAGACAGAGACAGAGACAGAGGGAGAAAGCAACCCATGGGGTTTAGTCACACGAACACTCCTTCTCCACCTCTCCACCCTGTTGGGGTATTGGGCATGCATGCACACGTACCCAGTCTGTTCCCCTATGCTGCCTGGTCTGGGACTTGAACCCCACAGCTGGCTGGGTGAGATCGGCTGCCTTAACTACCAGGCCATGGACCATCGCAGAGATGCTCCTTTTCTTTCAGTTTTGCTATAGGGCGTGCGCATTCCCCAGAGAAAGCGAAATCAGATCCCCCACCGGGGAAGACCACGCCGTAATCCCTTCTACGTTTTCCTTTCAGGATTTGGGGCACACCTGCACACACCGGTGTGTTTTTCAAGCCATCAGGTCCGGGACTTGAACCACACGGTCAGCCGTGCGGGATCCAGAGCCTTAACTAGCACGCCACCTGCTGGCTCTCCAATGACCCTGTCTGTCTGAGGCCCTGGGAGTCAGGGCTTCGATACAAGGATATTTCAAGGGGGACAGTTTAGCCCTAACGCCCTGGAAGAAGCTTAGACACAGAGCGATTTGCGCTTGAGCACCCAGCCAGGACTATCAGGCCAGGGATTCGAACCCAGGCAGTCCAGACAGAGAGCAGGAGATCTCTCTCTCTCTTTTTGTAAGGAATGATTTTATTTATTTATCTATTTGTTTTAATTTGACCAGAGGAGGACAGAGAGGGGGGGAGTGAGAAAGCAAGTCACCAGGTCCGGGACTCGAACAGCAGTTGGCCATGTTCACCAACTACCGGCCCCCACCAGGAGATCCTGCCAGCCCCCCTGGGACGGGAGCACCCAGGGACGGAGGGGGGACGGAGATGTTGATGCTGTCCTGTCTCGTAGGTGCTAGCGGACACCAAGGACCTTGTGTCCTCCAAGGTGTCGGGGGCCCGAGAGATGGTGTCCAGCACTGTGTCCAGCGCCAAGGACAGCATGACCAGCCGGGTGACGGGGGCGGTGGACGTGACCCGCGGCGCTGTGCAGAGCGGCGTGGACATGACCAAGTCCGTGGTGACCAGCGGCGTCCACTCGGTCATGGGCTCCCGTGTGGGCCAGATGGTGCTGAGCGGGGTGGACACGGTGCTGGGCAAGTCCGAGGAGTGGGTGGACAACCACCTACCCATGACCGACGCCGAACTTGGTGAGTGCAGCCGCGGGCCCGGGGGCCCAGGAACACCCCAGCCCTCCAGCTTCCCGTAGTGTCCCTTCTGCCATCCTGTACATGCCACCTCTGCTCATCAGCTCACCTAGGCCAGTGCAGTCCCCTCCTCCCTGGACCCTGAGCTTCCCACCTGCCCCCCACAACTGTCCTACCAGCAACGACCTCTAGAGGGCACCCATGAGCACCCGAGCCAGGGTCCATGGCGCCCACCTTCCTGGAGGGGGAAAACTGCTGGGGGTGGGCCAGGCGGTGGGCATGGAGAGACGAGCACCCTGGGAGTGGATCTGTGAGACAGCAGCGGTCCTACGGGGTCTGTACGCGAGCTCCCACACACTGGCTTCACGTCCTAGAAACAGCTGTCCTTGGCTGGCGCACCAAGGGCGCTGAGCACCTGTGGGTGCCTGGGTAAACGTGACCCCATGCCTTGCCTGCAGCCCCTTGGCCCTTCAGCCCAGAGAGAAAGGGAGGGAGGGAGAGGGAGAGGGAGAGGGAGGAGAAGGCATTGCCCCGCGACCACACCTTCCTGGGGGCACCCACCTCCCTCCCTCTCTCTGACAAGCATGTCTACCCTCCTACAACATAAATTTTTTAAATAATTGTTTTATTTATTTAAATTTTACCAGAGAGGGACAGAGGAAGAGAGAGGGAGAAAGCAAGCTGCCAGGTCTGGGACTCGAACTGCGGTCAGCCATGTGGGAGTCCAGCACCCTTAACCACCATGCCACCTACCGGGCCCACAATATAAATTTTAAAGTGAATAAAACCACAAACCAGAGCAACCAGGAAGGGTAGCCGCTCCAGGGGAGGGATCATTCTAACCAGCTTTGACCGCCAGGGCTTCCCTTTGACATCTGTCCCCTACGGATAGCAAGCGCCTGGCCAGTGGGTGGCGTGGAGGTTAAAGCACTGGATCCCACATGACTGATTGAGCAGTTCGAGTCCCGGACCTGGCGGCTTGGAAATCATGCCGGGCATGCGTGTGCGTGCGTTCCCAAAATCCCGAGTGGAGAACGGAGGAGGAGGGATTGTGGCGTGGTCACCTCCCGTAGGGGGTGACTTCTCACTTTCCCTCTCTCTCCGTCTCCCTCATGTGAGCGCCCATCTTTGAAAAAAAATAAAGATTCCAGGCCTTCAGCCCTGGAGGCCTTCAGCCCTGGAGGGCAGCTCCCCCCATCCCTGCCTCGCCAAGGACACACTCTTTTCACCAGCCCTGTCTCATACGGACTTGCCGGGACCCCGTCAGCGGTCCTCGGTCCTCGGCTTAAATAACAGAGCCTCCTCTCATTCCCAGCCACAATCTTGGACCCCGGCAAGGCGGACTCAAAATACCCCTGGAACCGTTCCTTTTCTTTTTTAATTTCCAGAGGGTGTGTTTACTCACCAGAGACACAGAGGAAGCACCCCTCAGTCACTGCCACCCTCTGTCCCCCATGTCTCCATCCTGGTAGGATTTGGAGCACACACACACGTGCCCAATGTGTTTCTCAAGCCACCAGGTCCAGGATTCGAACCGTGGAGCCTGCCATGTTGGATCTCGCTACCTTTACTAGGCTTCTGGCCAGCCCTCTGAACTTTCCCAAGACCCCTGGTGATAATGCCTGTTTGTGTTGTAGGGACCTACAGAGCCTAGGCCAGTATATATATATATATATTTATATGGCACCTGCACTTGTGGGAGAGACGGGGAGACAGAGAGACAGGAAGAAAGTGAGAAATCTCACCCCGGGTGGGATGGTCACACCAAAACCCATTCTCCTCTTAGGACTGTGGACATCCACGCACACGCGCCCAGCATGAGTTTTAAGCCCCGGGGCAGGCCTGGGACTCGAACACCAGTATACTGGTGGGAGTCCAGCAGTGTAACCATTAGGCCATCTGCTGGTCCCCACCTTTTAATCCCGTAGGGTTCCGTTCGGGACAACCCCATTTACCGGACAGGGAGGGCCGGGGCGGGAACCCCAGGTGTGCGCAGGTGGTGAGCTGTCCAAGCTCCACATATACGCTCCGCGCTGGAGCGGGGCTGGGCTGGTTCTGCGGGGGTGGAGGCCTTCACGCCCGGCTCCTCTCCCTGCAGCCCGCATCGCCACCTCCCTGGAGGGCTTCGACATGGCCTCCGTGCAGCAGCAGCGGCAGGAGCAGAGCTACTTCGTGCGCCTGGGCTCCCTGTCGGAGCGGCTGCGCCAGCACGCCTACGCGCACTCGCTGGGCAAGCTGCGCCACACCAGGCAGCGCGCGCAGGAGGCGCTGCTGCAGCTGTCACAGGCGCTCAGCCTGGTGAGGCCCGGGGCGGGGCCAGGCGGATGGGGCGGGGTCGGGTGGGCGGGACTATGTGGGTGGGCGGGGCCGGAAGGGCTAAGTGGCATCGGGCGGGACAGCGCGGGCCAGACAGCTGCCTGCCTTCTGCTGCAAACCCTCCCAGAGCTCCCGGGCTCCTTTCTCCTGCTCTGCCCGCGCTCTGGGCACACCCGCCCCAGGGCTCTGGTCGTGCATTACTTTGCTGGGCTGTCCTAACACATTGCAGGATTGAGGTGTATTTTCACACGGTTCTGCAGGCTGGAAGTCAGTGCAGTGTCACGGTCAGGGTGGCTTCCCCCCAGGCCTCGCAAATTGGCTTGCAGGGGCCTTTTTCTCTTTTTTTATATAACGAAGGCCGTGTGCACTAGTCAGAGAGAGAAAAGGAAAAGACACCCCTAGTCATGGGGAACTTCCCTCCTCTCCATCTGTCCTGCCGGGATTCTGGGCACACACATGTGCCCCGCGTGTTTTCCAAGCGCCCACACTGACGGCTTCAGCTTCTCTTCATATCCCCTGCAGACCCTGTCTCAAGGCAGCCTGGAGACCATGGGTTCAGATCCCCAGGCTGGCTGAAATCAGTGGCCAGCCCCATCTGCAAGGGCTGCTGCGAATATGGGCTTCTCTGCAGCCCAGGGACAGGCCGTGAGGGAGCTGAGGGTTACGGCAGAGCCCAGCAGGTCACTGTCGCCTGTCTGATCCACGGCGGCTCTCCCTTCTTCTTCCAAACATCCCCTGAGTTGGGTCTGAGCCCTCCTTGGGCTCCCTCTGGAATCCCTCCTCTCGGGGGGGTGTGGAGGGGTCCTCCCCTTCACCACGTTCTGTTCTGCTCCAGATGGAGACGGTCAAGCAGGGGGTGGACCACAAGCTGGCGGAGGCGCAGGAGAAGCTGCACCACATGTGGCTCGGCTGGAAGCAGAAGCAACCGCAGGGCAGTGAGAAGGACCCGGCCAAGCCAGAGGTACCCAGCTGGGCAGCGGCCTGGGGGCTTGGGCCCCTCGTCACCCTCGAGACCTCTGCTCCCTGAGCTCACCTGCATGAAACGCCTTTTCCAGCCTGACTCTCTATTAACTGCCTGTCTCTCTGTCTCTGTCTCTCTGGCGAGCGCACTTGCCCTATAGCAAACCCCCCCCCCAAAAAAAAGCATAATAGTGATAGATCAAATTAAAAATTAAATAATTCCTTTTAAATATGAAGAAAAACTCAGGGGCCAGCAGGTGGTATGGTGGCGAAGTCACGGGATCCCACACGGCCGCCTGTAGTTTACGTCCCGGCCTTGGTGGCTAGAAAAACACGCCGGGCGCTCGTGCGTGCGGAGTCCCAGGAGGAGTGGAGAGTGGCAGGGCCATCGCCCCTCCCAGAGGGATTGCTCACGGTCCCTCTTGGTCTCTCTCCAGTCCGCTCGCACCCTATGGTAAAAACCTAAAAAAAAAAACAACAAAAAGCTCAGAGCCTGGCGGGATAGATCACTCCCACCAACCCAGCTACTCAGGAGGCTGAGACTGGAGGTCGCGAGTTCAAGGCCGGCCTGAGTATCACAGCAAAATCCTACATCTGAGAAAAACAAGGGGGAAACAGCTGCAGCGCGAACCCCGAACGAGGGTCTGTCCGGTGGAAAGGCCCCGCCCCGGCCTGGCGCTAGAACTCCCGCTTCCTTCCCGGCGACCTCCCGACGTCCCGCCGCTGTCCCTCCCCAGCAGGTGGAGTCGCAGGCGCTGACCATGTTCCGGGACGTGACGCAGCAGCTGCAGGGCACCTGCGCCTCGCTGGGGGCCAGCATCCAGGGGCTCCCCGCCAACGTGCTGGACCAGGCGCAGCAGGCCCGCCGCCAGCTGGAGGACCTGCAGGCCGCCTTCTCCGGCATCCACTCCTTCCAGGACCTGTCCGCCGGCGTGCTGGCCCAAAGCCGCGAGCGCCTGGCCACGGCCCGGGACGCGCTGGACCGCCTGGTGGAGTACGTGGCCCAGAACACGCCCGTCACGTGGCTCGTGGGCCCCTTCGCCCCGGGCATCGTCGAGAGGCCCCCGGAGAAGTAAAGGAAGACGCCCGCCACACCACATCCCAGCCAGGCCGCTTCTAACTGCTCCCCGTCCTCGGCTCCCACCTCGGGACCCAAACTGAGGCGTCGCCCCCACTGACCCTCCTCACAGTCCCTCTGAGCTCGGAGCAAGCACCTTCTGAGTCTCACCCCGCAGCCAGTAGAGAGAAGTTTCTATAAAAAAAAAAAAAATTTTTTTCAAGGCCAGCAGGTGGCGTGGTGGTTAGGGCACTGGACTCCCACATGGCCACCTGTGGTTTGAGCCCCCGACCTGGCGGCTTGCTTTCTCAGTTCCTCTTTCGCGCTCTCTCTGGTCAAATTAAAAAGTAATAACAAAAATTTTCTACAAGATTCCAAACATTTTTTTTTCTTCTTAAAAATTAGATATACTGGGACCAGCAGGTGGCGTGGTGACTAAGGCGTTAGACACTCCCACATCGCCCACCACGGTTCAAGTCCCAGACCTGGTCGCTTGCTTTCTCACTTTCCCTCTCTCTCTCTGCGTGTTTCTCTCTGGTCAAATTAAAACAAATGAATGAATAAATAAAAATAAATTCTTTTAAAAAATTATACAATAATTACATTCGCCCTCCTCCTCTCCATGCACGCCTTGAAAGCAGCTGTTAGCTGTGAGGCTCTGCGTTCTAGCCTGAGAAGGGGCTCCCCCGGGGTGGGTGGACAGCGTGGGTGCTGCGACCCCACAGCGAGCAGAGGCCGAGGGCTCCCGGGGCAGCCTGTTCGAGTCCCAGCGCCCGCCGCGAAGTGGCCGTGTGCTGGGCTGTGGCTGCTGCTCCCAAAAGCCCCTCCGTCTGGGGGATTTGTAAACGGTGTGAGCCGCTGCTCAGGGAGCCTGGCGTGGGGACCCGAGGTCCAGGCGCTGCCAGCTTCGGTGTCCGGGGAGGGCCATCCGTCACACGGAGTGGATCCTGTGTGGTGGAGGGCCTAGCAGCTCCCCGCAACCTTTCTTCCTTTTGTTTTTCTATAGACCCCGTGCACTGGCCAGAGGGAGAGAGAGAGAGAGGGAGAGACGGAGGGAGGGAGAGAGAACTCACCCCCCAGGGAATGGCCGTGCCACCATCCCTTCTCCTCCAGTCTCCTCTTAGGATTTTAGGCATGAACATACCCACGCCTGGCATCTGTCTGTCTGTCTTTTTTTTAGAGATTTTGTCACAGGGCATGTGCACCCGCCAGAGAGACAGCAAGAAATCATCCCCAGGGGGATGGCCACACCGCAATCCCTCCTCCTCCAGTCCCCTCTTGGGATTTTGGGCACACACGCACCCGCGCCCCACATGAGTTTTAAGCCGCTAGGTCCGGGACTCAAACCACAGTCGACGTGGGAGTCCAGCAATGTAACCGTTACGCCATCTGCTGCTCCCTGTGTTTTTCTTTTTTTAGAGTTTTTGTTTTTGTTTTTAATAGGACAGGTGCACTCACCAGAGAGAAAGCAAGAAACCAACGGGAGTGGGGATACTGGGGGATGGGGGAATGGCCACGCCTCAACGCCTCCTCCTCTCCCGTCTCCTCTTGGGATTTGGGGCATGCACACCCACGCCCACTGTGGAGTTCCAAGCCTCTGGTCTGAGACAAGAACCTCAGTCAGCCACGTGGTGGTGCCTGTGTGTGCCTTCAGGCGTGGGCCCAGGGCTTGTATTGCAGTCAGCACCTGGAACCACCCCCGGGCCTCACCCACCTGCCCTGAGGGTAGCAGCCCTCTCCTAAGGAAGGCCTCATGACACGGCCCGGCTTTCCTTCGTAAGTGGGAGGAGACGGGGAGAGATGGGGGCCGACTCGTGGCTGGCAGCTAAGGGACCTAGTGCCCAGGCTGACCAGGTGGTTCGGATCCGGGCCCAGGGGCTTAGAAAACACACCAAGCACTTGTGTGTGCATGCAGGGCCCGAATCCCAACACGATGGAGAAACGGGGGAGAAGGGGCTGTGGGTGACCGTGCCCCAGCGGGGCGGCTCTCTCCCTGTCTCCCTGTCTCCCTGTCTCTCTGGTGAGTTGACGTGCCCTCTGACAAAAATGAAAAACAAAAAAGTAAGATTGACATAGCTGTTTGCACCCACCTTCTCCTTCAGTACAAATGAATGTAACCTGTGGGGACCAGCAGGTGGCGAGATGGTTATGTCACTGGGCTCCCACGTAGCCGACCACAGCTCGTCCCGGCTCCTGTGGCTTCAACTCACGCCGGCGCGTGTGTGTGCGTGCCCAAGATCCCGAGAGGAGAACGGAGGAGCGATTGCGGTGTGGCCATCCCCCTGGGGGGTGATTTCTCGCTTTCTGTCTCTCTGTCTGTCTTTCTGAAGAATGCACGTGCCTATATTAAAAATGTCTCTTTAGGGACCAGCAGTTAGCGTAATGGCTATGTCGCTGGACTCCCATGCGGTTCGCATCCTAGACCCGGTGGCTTAAAACTCATGCCAGGCGCGTGTGCGTGCGTGCCCAAGAGCCCGAGAGGAGAATGGAGGAGAAGGGATTGCGGCGTGGCCATCCCCCTGGGGGGTGATTTCTCGCTTTCTGTCTCCCTGTCTCTCTCTGTCTGTCTGGCGAGCGCACACACCCTGTAGCGAAAAAACCTCTCTCTCTCAAAAAAAAAAGTCTCTTTTAAAAAAAGGGGGAGGGCCAGCAGGTGTCAGGGTGGCTAGGGGCACTGCACTCCCACACGGCCAACCACGATTCCAGCCCTGGACCTGGCCCC